TTTTCCCCCCCCCCTCTTCTCCCCCCTTCCCCCCCCAATTTTCCCCCTCCCTTTTCCCCGCTCTCCCCCCCCTCCCCCCCCCCCATTTTCCCTCTCCCCCCCCCCCTTTCCCCCCCCCTCCCCCCTCCCCCCCTTTTTTCCCCCCATTCCCCCTTTCCCCTCTTTTTCTCCTGTCCCCCCCCCCCCTCCTTTTTCTTTTTTTTCCCTTTGGGGGGCCAAATTTGGGGTTTTGGCTTTCTTGGAAAAAACCCCCTTAAAATTTTTTAAAACCCTTTAGGGCCCTCCCCCTCTCCCCTTTTTCCCCATTTTTTTCTAACATTCCTCCCCCAAAAACCCCCTTTAACTCCCCCCCCTTTTTTTAATTTCCCCTTTTCCCTTCCCAAAAAAAAAAAAAAAAAAAAAAAAAAAAAATGGGGGGAAAAAAAGGGGGGAAAACCCCAAATCAGGAGGGGGGTTCCTGGTGAGGGAATGGAGGGGAGAAAGGGAAAAATTTTGGAACCCGGTTTTGGGAGAGAAAAGGAAAACCCAAAGCCCGGGGAAAAAAAGGGGGAAAAACTCCTGGGGAAATTGGAAAAGAAATTTTTGGGAAAGGGGGGGCAAAGAAGGGAGTCACCCAAACAAACTGAATTAAGGAAAAATAAAGGGTTCCAAAAAAAAGTTGAAAAAACGAAGGGGTAAAAAAGGGGCCCCGGGCCCAAAAAAACAAAATAAAGCGGCGAGGGAACAAAAAAGGAAAGGAAAACTAAGGAAAAAGGCCCCGGAGGAAACCCCAAAAGTAAAAAGAAAGAAAAGCGGGAAAGGGGGAAAAACCCCCAAACTGAGCCCAAACCAACCCATCAAGAACCCCACCAAAAAATTCCCCGGGAAAACCCGGGCCACATCCCCCAGGATCCAAGGTTTACCCCCCCAAAGGGAAACCCCAATGGGGAAAGAAAGGGGAAAAAAAATGGTTTTCCAAATGGGCTTTGGGGGGAGGGGGAAAAAAAAGGAAAACCACTCTGAAAACCAAACAAGAAAAAAGATTTAAAAATAAAAACCCAAAAAAGGTGAAAAAAGATGAAAAGGGGGGGATTTTTAAAAAATTTTTAGAGTAGGGGAGAAGGGAGAAAAATTTTTACCCAACAAACCTATTCGATGAAAAGGCAAAACCCGGGAAAAACCCCACAGAAAACCCCGGAAAAGAAAAGGAAAGAGTAAAAAGGTGTTCCTAGAAGGGGGCCCGAAAAATCAAAGCAGCAAAACCCCGAAAGGGGACAAAAAAGCGGGGGAAAGAAAATGGGGAAAAAGGGGGCAAGGATGGAACCAAACCCAAATCCCCCGTAAAAGGGGCCCAACAAAAAAGAAAGGGAAAAACCACAACTTGAAAAATACAAACCTTATAATCCAAAACCCCCAAAACACATAAAAACCCCGGGGGTACCCCCCGGAAACTTGAAACCCCCAGTAAGGGACCCGGGGGGGAAAAATAAGGCCCCCCAAACCAAAAAGGGGAAAGGGGAAAACTGAAGGTAATTTCCAAAAGGGGGAAATAACAAAAATGGAGGTGGGCCCTTAAAAGAGTTAAAGAAAAAACAAGGACTAGGAAAGGGGCCCCAAGGGGGAAAAGGTTTAAGAAAACCAATGGCCCAATTTCCCAAAGGGAAAAAATCCTTTTAGGGGAAAGAAAAAAAAAAGGGGGTAAAGGGGTGGGCGTTGTGACCAAAATTCGAATTTTTGACTAAAAAGGGAAGGCCCCCCAAAAAAATTGAAAAAACATACGGGGGAACCCAAAAAAGGCCCAAAGGGTAAAGCCCTGAGGAAAACCCAAAAAACCCGGAACAGCAAAGGGGAAGGAAGAGAAAAAAAAGCCGGGGGAGGAATAAACCGAGGTTAACAATTTTTTAATGGGCAAAATTCCCCGAAAAAGGGAATATGCACAAAATTCCCGGGCAAGGGGACCAAACCCCCCGGAGAATTGGTTTTGGGGGAACTTGAAACCCAACAAAAGGGGGCCAAAATAAAATTTGGGGAATTAAAGGGGTGAGGGTTTTGGGACCCAAAAACCAAAATTCAAACCTTTTTGGGGAAACAAAAGGGAGAGAGAGGATGGGGAACCCGCAAAATGTTTGTTTTTAACCCTTAAAAAAGGAGAACAGGGCATACATTAAAAGACCCGGGGCCATGACCCTGAAAAAATTTTAAAAAATTGGGAAAAATAGGGGCAAAGTGGGGAAACCAAGGGAAGGCCCCCGAAAGAAACCAAAATTTTTGGGGGGAAACCCTTTCACAAAATAATGGCTTTTTACGGGGCAGTGGGGCAAAAAGAATGGGAGGGGGGAAGCCCTTTTTTTAATGAAAATGATTGGGAAAGTACCCCAAAAAAAATTTTTCCCAGGACCCCGGGAAAAAAGGACCCAAGGGAAATGAAAATTTTTTAAAAAAGCCAGAATTTTCCCCGGGGGTTTTAACACCAAAAGGGCCCCCCAGGGCCCAAAAAAAAGGTGCTTTTTGGAATTTTTAGAAATAAAAAAGGAAAGGACCCCCCGAGAATAAAAGGAAAACATCGTAAAAAGGCCCGAAAAAAATTAATGCCAGATTAAAAGGGGAGGCCCAAAGACAATATGAAAATGACATAGCAGCAAAAGCCAAATCTGACCCGAAACTGTTGTAAAAGCCACATCAGGAGGAAAACAACAGTAAAGGACCGGGTAATAAAGGCTAAGAAGGAAGGAGGAGAGAAACAAGAAATGACCGTGAAGTATGTGAAGAACTCAACAAGAGATTCAAAGAAGTGTTCACAGAGGAGACAAAAAGGGACTCCAGAAAGAGGGAGAGGTGAGGCACACCACCAAGTGCTGGACCAGTGCACACAACCGAGAAGAAGTGAAGAGGCTTCTGATGAGCTAGATACCTCAAAGGCAATGGGGCCAGATAACAATCCCCATGGGTATTAAAAGGAGGGAGCAGGGGCCTATGTGTACCCCTAAGAACAATATTCAATACATCTATCGAAACAGGGAGATTGCCTGGGGCATGAAGACAGCAAATGTAGTCCCAATTTTTAAAAAAGGAGACAGACATGAGCATTAAACTACAGACCAGTGTCACTGACATTATAGAAATGCAAAATCATGGAGAAATTATCAGGAGAAGAGTGGTGGAACACCTAAAAGAACGATCTCATCAACAGCAGCCACATGGTTCAGGGACGGGAAACCCTGTGTCACAAACCTACTGGAGTTCTATACATGGTGACAGCAGTAAACAAGAGAGAGAGGGGTGGGTGGTTTGCATTTTTTGGCCCTGCAAAAAGGCGTTTGACACAGTTCCACACAAGAGATTGGTGCAAAAACTGGAGGACCAACAGGGATAACGGGGAAGGCACTACAATGGATCAGGGAAATACTTGTCAGGAAGACAGCAGCGAGTCATGGTACGTGGCGAGTGGTCAGAGTGGGCACCTGTGACCAGCGGGTCCCGCAGGGGTCAGTCCTAGGACCAGTGCTGTTTCTGGTATTTGTGAACGACATAAACGGAAGGAATAGACTCTGAGGTGTCCCTGTTTGCAGATGACGTGAATTGATGAGAAGAATTCACTCGATCGAAGACCAGGCAGAACTACAAAGGGATCTGGACGGGCTGCAGACCTGGTCCAGCAATTGGCTCCTGGATTTCAATCCCACCAAGTGCAAAGTCAAAAAAATTGGGGGAAGGGCAAAGAAGCCGCAGACTGATACAGCTAGGGGGTCAGAGACTACAAACCTCACTCAAGGAAAAAGATCTTGGGTGAGTATAACACCGGGCACATCTCCTAAGCGCACATCAACCAAATAACTGCTGCAGCATATGGGCGCCTAGCAAACCTCAAACAGCATTCCCGACATCTTAATAAGGAATCATTCAGGACCCTGATACACCGTGTACGTTAGGCCCATATTGGAGTATGGGGCCCACCAGTTTGGAACCCACACCTAGCCAAGCACTGAAAAACTAGAGAAATGCAAAGGTTTGCAACAAGACTAGTCCCAGAGCTAAGAGGTATTTCCTACGAGGAGAGGTTAAGGGAAATCAACCTGACGACACGGGAGGACAGGAAGATAGGGGGACATGATAACGACATAAAAAATACTGAGAGGAATTGACAAGGTGGACAAAGACAGGATGTTCCAGAGATTGGACACAGTAACAAGGGGACACAGTTGGAAGCTGAAGACACAGATAATCAAAAGGGATGTTAGGAAGTATTTCTTCAGCCACAGAGTAGTCAGTAAGTGGAATAGTTTGGGAAGCGATGTAGTGGAGGCAGGATCCATACATAGCTTTAAGCAGAGGTATGATAAAGCTCACGGCTCAGGGAGAGTGACCTAGTAGCGATCAGTGAAGAGGCGGGGCCAGGAGCTCGGACTCGACCCCCGCAACCTCAACTAGGTGAGTACACACACTCTCGTCCACACACACACTCGTCCACACACACTCTCGTCCACACACACACACACTCTCGTCCACACACACACACACACACACACACACACTCGTCCACACACACACTCTCGTCCACACACACTCTCGTCCACACACACACTCTCGTCCACACACACACACTCTCGTCCACACACACTCTCGTCCACACTCTCGTCCACATACACACTCGTCCACACACACACACACTCGTCCACACACACACACACTCGTCCACACACACACACACACACTCGTCCACACACACTCATTCACACACCCTCTCATTCACACACTCACACCCACAATTTGTAATCTGCTCATAATTGTGACTATGTATAGACGTGTAGATGATTCATTACCCTTGTAACTTGGTCATGATTGTGACCAGATCCACCTGAAGTTCATTACCTTTGTAACTTCTTTAACTGACATAACTTTGGGACCCAGTCCCAGGACCCACTATGTATCACAGTAATATTTTAACTACCACCCACAGGATGGGTATGGGGTACACAATAAACATATTAAGCTAAACTCACACCCACACACACTACACCTACCTGTAAGGTGAATGGAGAGAAGACAGCAAAAGCTCTGTTCTTCTCAGCAGGAGCTCTGGATACCACAGTGATGGTCTCCAGATAATATGGTATAGTGAAGTCCATCACCGTCTCTCTGCTAGCTGCCACGGTCAAACTGCCTCGTTACTTATACAGTAGTTTACAAGTCGATGTTGTATATGGGAACAGTGTGTCTGTATATTTTGCTTTCTATCTAGGTGTATGTTTATGTTTAAATGCGCTAAAGAAATCACAGAAGGGATGGGGCAGCCTCGCCCGTCTTACAGTTTGACTGTTATGATGTGTTTTACAATTTCGTTTACGTGTAAGAGGGTGGAGTTATATATGTGTAGGCGTGGTATAAACCTTGGTAATAAATACCGACAAGTTGGTTTAGAAAGACACGTAAGCAAACACTATAACATATTTATTAGAAAACGTTTCGGTCCTGAAACCTTGATCACTTCTAACATGTTAGATGTTAGAAGTGATCAAGGTCCCAGGACCGAAACGTTTTCTAATAAATATGTTATAGTGTTTGCTTACGTGTCTTTCTAAACCAACATGTGTAGGCGTGTAAATTCATTGAGCACATGTCCATGCAAACTCCAAACATCTGTACACCAGGAAGAGAATATACACCTGCAATATATCCAACATTAGATCAACCTAGCTTAAACAATATACCAACTTTGTTTAAACAACATTACAGTAACACACGAGCCAGGGCTCCATCACTAGATAAATACGAAGAGCAAGGTTTTCTTGATGCAACGTCCGGCTCCGTGAAGAGCTTTATAAAGTCATGAGTTTATAAAGCTCTATACAGTTATGACAATAAAGCTCTATACAGCGTTAGATATGATAAAGCTCTACACAGAGCCTAACATGATAAAGCTCTACACAGAACGAAATGTCTCAAAGAAAGCTTGTCGTCTATCCTGAGTCATCCTGATTCAGCCTCCGGCATGGCGAGTGAGCACCAGCTGTCTCACCTGTGATGGTGATCTCACAGATGGCTATGTGTACCTCCCTGCGAGCCACCTGTCCGATCAGGCCAGACACTGTACCATCTGGTAGCGGTCCGCCCCACTGGCCATCAGCGGGAGATACAACACGATACCTGCAAGACAATCCACAGGGATGGAAATCTTAAGCTCAAATGCTTTCACAGTTCTCAGTGCGTCATCAGGAGCTGTGCAATGTTGCAAGGGCAGCAACGGGAGAAATAGGGCAAGTTTTTCAGAGTATAATAGTGCAGGTGCCACCCGCACTACCATACTCTGGAAAACAAAATTAACCTTGCTGGATACTCACGTAAAGTTCAGAAAACTCCCCAGGGTATTCATAATCTGAATATCGATGCCGCTGTCTGCCTCCACGCCTCCTCCAGGTGGGTATTTGAGGCCGAAGAATGGCCAGTTATTGTTAGCAGATACAATAAGCTGCCGGCCCCTCATATTCTCGTATCGCTTTTTGAGGTCTGGGACCAAAGACCCGTCTAGACGTCCCGTGGCACCAGAAGGAGTGAGTTTCCACGACCCCATTGGTATAAACCTGGCAATTAAAATATACATAAAAAAGCTTCTGATCAAAATATTTTATTTTTGAAAGATTGATAGATTTTGCCACTGAAGTGGCTAGTTTATTTTGTACCTCATATCCATCCTGCTGACGCTAGCGCAAGAACATATGAATACACAAAAGGCCCAGGAACTAGGCCCCAAAAGGGTTAACAGATGTACATAGCTATTTATATATTCATATCTACAGTTCACTTATCTGTTACAAGCAAATTTAGGAAATTTGCTTAGTATATCTGGTATCTTATTTTCATTAATAAGATATCCTAACATGTCACATAGGTTATTATACTGTCTGTCTCTGTATTCATCAATAAGTGGACAATTAAGCACATAGTGTTCAAGAGAGTGACCATATGCCTGATCACACAATTTACATTTAGTTTGATCATCATTTGTGTGTCTCCCAAACTGCCAGAAGTACTTGTAACCAAGCCTAAGCCTGGTCACTACAACATCAGTCAGTACTTGTAACCAAGCCTAAGCCTGGCCACTGTAACATCAGTCAGTACTTGTAACCAAGTATAAGCCTGGCCACTACAACATCAGTCAGTACTTGTAACCAAGCCTAAGCCTAGCCACTACAACATCAGTCAGTACTTTAACCAAGCCTAAGCCGGGCCCACACTACAACATCAGTCAGTACTTGTAACCAAGCCTAAGCCTGGCCACTACAACATCAGTCAGTACTTGTAACCAAGCCTAAGCCTGGCCACTACAACATCAGTCAGTACTTGTAACCAAGCCTAAGCCTGGCCACTACAACATCAGTCGGGAACTTGAAACCCAAGCCTAAGCCTGGCCACTACAACATCAGTCAGTACTTGAAACCCAAAGCCTAACCTGCCACTAAAACATCAGTCAGTACTTGTAAAAGCCTAAGCCTGGCCACTACAACATCAGTCAGTACTTGTAACCAAGCCTAAGCCTGACCACTACAACATCAGTCAGTCTGTTCACATTACACGTTGCTCCATAAACATATTTATCTACGTTCACGTTATCATAGTGGGTTATATAGATCTACTCAGGTTTCCAACTTCATTTCTATAACAATCATTTTCATTATTTACTTCTCTAATATTATTCCTAATGCTAGACACAGATATACCAAAGTTATATTCAACATTCTCCTTCTGGGTACTCTTCTTGGCTAACATATCAACTTTATCATGAAGGAGTAATACAATGTGTGATGGGATCCATAGCAATTGTACATTAATTCATTGTCCCTAATTTTTGAGTATCTATACCTGGCTTCTCCAATGAGCATTTGCTGTTGGAGTCATTATATGAGTCAAGAGCCTTCAATGATGACATAGAATCAGTAATGATGATAGAGTCATGCTCAGTGTCATAAGTTAGTTTTAGCGCCATTGGGATGGCAAACAGTTCAGTTTGCAGTGTAGACGCCCAGTTGTTAATTCTTATGCCTAACTCAACAAATTTATTATGGTTCTTAACTAGGGAGGTGGCAACAAGAGCAGATGCAGCCCTGCCAGAAGACTCCTGTTTAGATTCATCAGTGTATATAACTTGTGATAACTTGTTACTACCAGCTAGGTGAGAAATTTCTTCTTGAGCAGTTGCTCTAACAAGTGATTTAAGGAAGGGATTACTAGCAATGAGCTTCTTGGGAGGGACTTGTAGGTATGTGATATTAAATGAACACATCTTCCATGGAGGGGTGAAATGCTCTTGCTGCCTACAGTGATACAGTTCATGTAGGTTATAAAACTTAATATAATTGCACGTTTCCACAATCCATTTAGATCTGTGTGTATTTACTTTTAGACACTTTGTAAGCTTCACTGACAGTGTCTGGTTCATTTCTTAGCGTTGTAATACCGAGTACAGTGTTAATCTCAACAATCTTATCACTGGTACTAGAAATACCAAGCTGCTTCCTCATATTAAGAACCTTTGTAGGTTGGGACAGCCAAGAATAATTCTGAGAGCTTCATTTTGCGTTAACTCCAAGGGTCGGAGAGAACTTTCTCTAGCTACAAAATTCCTTACATCAAGGGACTGCTCACGGAGTCAAATGCAATGTTTGCAGCATTCACAGAGACCCACATAAAGGATCATTATGACAACGAAATATGGATCCCAGGTTATAACCTATTCCGATGCGGTAGACTAAACAGGCAACAAGGGGGGAGGGGGGGAGTTGGCCTGTATGTCACAGAGTGGCAGATTTGCACAGGACTACTAAACACCTCAAATGATGTAGTTGAAGTTTTGGCGGTAAAGATCGAAAACCAAAACCTTGTCATTATGGTAGTATACAAGCCTCCAGATGCAACTTCCCAGCAATTCCAGGAGCAGCTTGAGAAAATTGACCAGTGTCTGGAAAATCTCCCAACTCCTACCCCAAACATCTTACTACTAGATTTCAAACTGAGACACCTAAAATGGAGGAGTATAGCAAACAATGTTTTAGTAGAGGCAGCTCAGATGAAAATTCACACACACACACGAACTATTAAATTTCTGCAACATATTCACCTTAAACCAGCAAATAGTAGAGCCAAAAATGATGATTTGATACGTAACATAACTGTATCAAAGACAATTCACTCAGATCACAATATAATAGAGGTACAGACATGTATGCACAGGGCTCCTGACCAGCAAAATGTGAGCAGTTTACCTGGAGTTTACCTGGAGAGAGTTCCCGGGGTCAACGCCCCCGCGGCCCGGTTTGTGACCAGGCCTCATGGTGGATCAAGGCCTGATCAACCAGGCTGTTTGTCAGGTACCGACTTTAGGTGCTTGTCCAGTGCCTGCTTGAAGACAGCCAGGGGTCTATTGGTAATCCCACTTAAGTATGCTGGGAGGCAGTTGAACAGTCTTGGGCCCCTGACACTTATTGTGTTGTCTATTAACGTGCTAGTGACACCCCTGCTTTTCGTTGGAGGATATTGTTGCATCGTCTGCCGAGTCTTTTGTTTTCGTAGTTTACCTGGAGAGTTTACCTGGAGAGAGTTTCGGGGGTCAACGCCCCCGCGGCCCGGTCTGTGACCAGGCCTCCTGGTGGATCAGCGCCTGATCAACCAGGCTGTTGCTGCTGGCTGCACGCAAACCAACGTACGAGCCACAGCCCGGCTGATCAGGAACTGACTTTAGGTGCTTGTCCAGAGCCAGCTTGAAGACTGCCAGGGGTCTGTTGGTAATCCCCCTTATGTTGCTGGAGGCAGTTGAAAAAGTCTCGGGGCCCCCGACACTTATTGTATGGTCCTTAAAAGTGCTAGTGACACCCCTGCTTTTCATTGGGGGATGGTGCTCGTCTGCCAATCTTTTGCTTTCGTAGTGAGTGATTTCGTGTGCAAGTTCGGTACTAGTCCCTCTAGATTTTCCAGGTGTATATAATCATGTATCTCTCCCTCCTGCGTTCCAGGAATACAGGTTTAGGAACCTCAAGCGCTCCCAGTAATTGAGGTGTTTTAAACCCGTTATGCGCGCCGTGAAGGTTCTCTGTACATTTTTAGGTCGGCAATTTCACCTGCCTTGAAAGGTGCTGTTAGAGTGCAGCAATATTCCAGCCTATATAGAACAAGTGACCTGAAAGTGTTCATCATGGGCTTGGCCTCCCCAGTTTTGAAGGTTCTCATTATCCATCCTGTCATTTTTCTAGCAAAATGTGATTGATACAATGTTAAAGGCCTTGAAGGTGAGATCCTCCGACATAATCACTCCCAGGTCTTTGACGTTGGTGTTTCGCTCTATTTGGGCCAGAATTTGTTTTGTACTCTGATGAAGATTTATTTCCTCAGTTTACCATATCTGAGTAATTAAAATTTCTCATCGTTGAACTTCATATTGTTTTTTTGCAGCCCACTGAAAGATTTGGTTTAGTCCGCCTGGAGCCTTTCAGTGTCTGCAAAGGAAGACACTGTCATGCAGATTCGGTGTCATCTGTCAAAGGAAGACACGGTGCTGTGGCTGACATCCTTGTCTATGTCGGATAGAGGATGAGAACAAGATGGGAGCTAGTACTGTGCCTTGTGGAACAGAGCTTTTCACCGTACTGCCTCGGACTTTACTCTGTTGACGCTACTCTCTGTGTTCTGTTAGTCAGGAAAAATTTTAGATCCATCGACCGACTTTTCCTGTTATTCCTTTAGCGCGCATTTTGTGCGCTATTACGGCCATGGTCACACTTGTCCCAAGGCTTTTGCAAAGTCTGTATATATTACATCTGCATTCTTTTTGTCTTCTAGTGCATTTAGGACCTTGCTAGTGATCCAGTAGTTGAGACAGACAGGAGCGACCTGTTCTAAACCCATGTTGCCCTGGGTTGTGTAACTGATGGGTTTCTAGATGGTGGTGATCTTGCTTCTTAGGACCCTTTCAAAGATTTTTATGATATGGGATTTAGTGCTAATTGGTCTGTATTCTTTGCTGTTGCTTTACTGCCCCCTTTGTGGAGTGGGGCTATGTCTGTTGTTTTTAGTAACTGAAGGACGACCCCCGTGTCCATGCTCCCTCTCCATAGGATGGAAAAGGCTCGTGATAGGGGCTTCTTGCAGTTCTTGATGAACCCAGAGTTCCATGAGTCTGGCCCTGGGACAGAGTGCATGGGCATGTCATTTATCGCCTGTTCGAAGTCATTTGGCGTCAGGATAACATCGGATAGGCTTGTGTTAATCAAATTTTGTGGCTCTCTCATAAGTGATTTTCGTGTGCAAGTTCGGTACTAGTCCCTCTAGGATTTTCCAGGTGTATATAATCATTTATCTCTCCCGCCTGCGTTCCATGGAGTGCAGGTTCAGGAACTTCAAGCGCTTCCAGTAATTGAGGTGTTTTATCTTGCCTCTGTTCCAGAACCTCCACGACTACGGTGCTCTTTGCACCAACTCCAAGGCTGAGGGACTGATTACCTCATCTTCTGTATATAGTTCTACTGTCTTCAAATTATGTTCTGGAATTTGTATTGATAAAGCCACTGGATGGCGAAACGTCTACAATAAAGATACCCAGATGTTGCACTTGTGTCTTAATTTCGTATTACAGAATGTATATAAATGCTCTGGAAAACGTACAAAGAAGGATGATCAAGTTGATCCCATGTATCAGAAATCTTCGCTATGAGAATAGGCTGAGGGCCCTGAATCTGCACTCTCTCTAGAAAGGCGTAGAATTAGAGAGGATATGATTGAGGTGTATAAATGGAAAACAATAATAAATAAAGAGGATGTAAATAGCGTACTAAAACTATCTAGCCAAGACAGGACTAGCAGGAATGATTTCCAGTTGGAAAAATTCAGATTCAGGAAGGATATAGGAAAGCACTGATTTGGTTATAGAGTTGTGGTTGATTGGAACAAACTCCCGAGTACAGTTATAGAGGCTAAAACGTTGTGTAGTTTTAAAAATAGGTTGAAAAAAAAATGAGTGGGTGTGGGTGGGTGTGAGTTGGACCTGAGTAGCTTGTGCTACTAGGTCAGATGCCGTACTCCTTCCTTAAATGAATGTGACCTGATCTAACTAGGTTACGGCATTGGCTTAAGCCGGTAGGAATCCAACGTACGAGCCACAGCCCGGCTGGTCAGGTACCGACTTTAGGTGCTTGTCCAGTGTCTGCTTGAAGACAGCCAGGGGTCTATTGGTAATCCCCCTTATGTATGCAGGGAGGCAGTTGAACAGTCTCGGGCCCCTGATACTTATTGTGCTGTCTCTTAACGTGCTAGTGACACCCCTGCTTTTCATTGGGGGGATGTTGCATCGTCTGCCAAGTCTTTTGTTTTCGTAGTGAGTGATTTTCGTGTGTAAGTTCGGTACTAGTCCCTCTAGGATTTTCCAGGTGTATATAATCATGTATCTCTCCCTCCTGCGTCCAGTCATGAAGGTCTCTTCACGAAATTAAATTTTAATAACAAAAACATACAATGGGATTAAGTAAACCAAGTCCTAAATGAAACAAGCTGGGAAGATATCCTAAACAACGCGGATCCAAACATTTGCCTTGAAAAAATTAATTCTGTGGTTCTTGAGATATGCTCAAGACACATTCCATTAAGAAAAAGAAAGAGAAGATGTAAACTAGAAAGAGAGAGACGTTCCCTATACAGACGAAGGCGAAGAGTCACAGAGCTGCTGAGTGGGATCAATATATCTGAAATACGACGGGAGGCACAAGTCAATGAAATTACAAATATCGAACTTAAGCTGAAGGAATCTTCTAGGAGACAAGAATCACAGGAAGAACTAAAAGCCATAAAGGAAATTGAAAAACCCAAAATACTTCTTCTCTTATGCCAAATCTAAGGAAAAAACAACATCCAGTATTGAGCTCCTGCTTAGGTGGGATGGGACATACGCAGATGATAATCAAGAACTGAGTGAGATACTAAAGTCCCAATATGACTCAGTGTTCAGCGACCCACTGCCCACTCTAAGGGTCGACAATCCAAATGAATTCTTTATGAACGAAACCCAAAATTTGGTCATCCCAAAACTCTCGGATATTATTATAACTCCACAAGATTTTGAAGAGGCAAATAATGACATGCCCATGCACTCTGCCCCAGGCCCAGACTCGTGGAACTCCGTGTTCATCAAGAATTGCAAGAAGTCTCTATCGCGTGCCTACAGCATTTTATGGAGAGGGAATTAGTTTAATATCTTTGTTATGCATCCCATACCCATCCTGTGGGCGGTAGTCAAAAGATTACAAAGGTACATAATGGGTCCAGGGACTAGACCCCAAAGATATGATAGCTGAACTAGTTACAAAGGTAATGAACTCCAGGTAGATCTGGTCACTAATCATGGCAAGTTACAGAGGTAATGAATCAGCCTCACTCCTATACATGGTTACAATCATGAATAAATTACAAAGTAATGAACCACTGATACGTCCACACCTGGTCACAATTGTAATGAGTTAAAAATACAAATATTAAGTGGGTCATACACCCACACCCGGGGGCACACACATACACACAAAGAGGGCGCACGCACAGACACAAGCACATGAGGCTAATATATGAACACACAACACGCCCAACCCACACACACACCACACACACACACCACAACACACACACCCCACACACCCCACACCAAACACA